AATGACACAGCACAAACTACTGCTATGTTATTAATGAATCATGTATTCTCAAGGTTTGGACTTCCCCTCAGGGTGAACTCAGACCAAGGTACACACTTCAAGGTGAAGTAATGAAAGAACTGTGGAAGACGCTAGGCGTCAAAGCCAACTTCCATATTGGCTACCATCCACAGGCTTCAGGCCAGGTTGAGAGAGCAAACAGGACTGTGGTGAGTATTTTGAAAAAATACGTAGCCACAAACCACAAGGACTGGGACGTGAAACTCCCTCTGGTCCTCATGGCCATAAGGGCCACTCCACACACATCGACTGGCATCTCTCCTTTCGAGATGATGACGGGTCGACAAATGACTCTCCCTCTACACCTGTTGTACCAACCAGGCGATGCTGCCATGGCAACAGCCTACACTACACAACAATACATGAAAGACTTGGAAAAACACCTTAAAAACACTTTTGCTTTCGCCCAGAAAAACCTGGAAAAATCAGCTGAAGGACGCAAAGCGTACTACGACCAAAAAGCCTCTCACGAGGAACTCCAAGTGGGAGACAGGGTCTGGTACTACACGTTTGCCCCCACAACTGGGAGAAGAGAGTCCGGGACCCGAACTCTCGCCCGTAAACTGATGCCCAGATGGACTGGACCCCATCTGATAACAGACAAACTGTCTCCAGTTGTCTATCAGATAAAAATCAGTAAAGGCCAAAAAGAGCCAATTGTTAAATGGGTACATCGAAACCAGGTTAAACCACACAAGCTGTGCAAAGAAACAACTCCTACGGGACAGCGTGATTGAATCTGACAACCAGGGTGAGGAGGAGCAGTGAAACGATGTTTCTAGTTGCTTAGTCACTACTCTTGTCGATGTTGAAACGTTGTTTATTTGGTTTTGATATTTGTTTCTGAGCACCTCAGTAAGAATGGGTTTTGTATGTATTTTAGTTGGAGACTGTAAAGGACTTTAACTATGCCAACATGCAGTTCACTCGTTAAAACCTAATCGTTTAAGAGTCAATGTAGTCAATGCTACCTTAAGTACCATAACTTACATTGGTCTCACCATCTTCAAGCCGAACCTACTCAAACAATTCTATTCGGGGGGATAGCTAATTCTTTTTGATGAGTCTCGCCATAGACTCCAAAAACATTTATGGGGAAACCAAACACCCAATCTCAAGTCGTTCGTCTAAAAGGCAACAGACAAGTAAATCAACTATAGTGGCCATGTAAGTCTAACATAGACAAAGTTAGCAATGGTGGTATAGTTGGAACACCCTTCTATAGGTATAGACCCCTATAGCTACTCTTTTCAGCATGTTCCACCCCTTAACTGGTAGCTGTAGCTGTTCCCAATCATAATAGCTTACACACCAGGTGCATATAGGTTAAGGCCTTATGTAAAATCCCCTTCATAAGCCCACCTTAAACCACTTAATTGCATGACACATAGAACCAGAACGGCACCGACTGGACGTCACCCAGCGACGATCTTCGCTGGAGGGGACCTGCAATCCTGACCTTGGTCTCCAACCTGCATCCAGTGGCCGCATCTTCAGTTCAATCGAAGGGAATCTTCTACATGCTGATTAATCAACAACTCCAATCGTTGTGGAATTACCGTTGTGGATTATGACTTTTCCAATGGATTACATATTTTATATCCTTTATGTAATTTATTCTTGTTGATCTTTGTTCTTACTGTAAAGTGTCCTTGGGTGTCATAAAAGGCGCTTTTTAAATAAAATTATTATTATTATTATTATTATTATTATTATTATTATTAAACTCTCACACAAAACAAAACTGATTCTTCCCCCAAACAGCAGGGGAAGAATCAGTTTTGTTTTGTGCGTTTCCTTGACTGATGAAGCCTTCCGGATGGAAGGTGAAACGTTTCAGCAAAAAAAGAAACTGTCCAGATGACCTGACTGAAAATTGTTGGATTGTATACCTGGATTATTGAGGATGGGCCTTTTTCAACAAATCAAATGAGACTAAATCTGATAATGTTTGGAAACCATGAATGTCTCGTCCTCAGTGCTAAAGAGGAGTTTGACAAGCCACAGTTTAAATGCCTGCTTCTCTGATGGTGTGGGGGTGCATTAGTGCCTATGGCATGGTCATGGTTACACATCTGGAAAGACTGTACATATCTGTGTTCTGCTACCACCCAGACAACAGCATTTTCAGTGAAGGTCCTGCATATTTCAGCAAGACAAAAACCATACCTTTTTCAGCAGGACAATGTTCAACCACATGCTGCATCCAGTACAGCAGCATGGCTTTGTAGAGGAAGAGTTCTGGTACTGAACTGGCCTGTCTGCAGTCCAAACCTCTTCCCAGTTAAAAGAATCAGAAGGCCAAGAATATAGTAAAGAAGACCCAAGACTGTTGAACCGTTGGTGTCCTCCATCAGCCAGGAATGAGACAACTCTCCCCTCTAAAAACTCTACTCGGTTCCTAAAAACTAGGGATGGGGCCGATCTGATTGAGTATTGGTATCGGGCTCCGATACCAGCATAATTTACGTATCGGATTTTCCGATCCAACCTGCCGATATTTCCGATCCATGATTCATGTCTGTGGTTGCGCTGCACGTTGGCTTCAAACTATGGAATGGATTTCCTGAACGGAGGCGCGTCTCATGAACCCAGAGTAATAAGACCCGCCTCACATTCAGGAAATCCATTTCATAGTTTACAGCCAGCTACTACGTGCAGTAGCACTGTGGCTAACGGCTAACCAACTTTTCATCGAAACATTTACACCGTGTGGAAATATTTTACACTAGAAACACCACAAAACAAGACAGCAACGTGCAATGTCTGTAGAGTCATAGCACCACATTAAACTACGGTAAAGTTAGTTTTACGATGGACATTCGAGCTCCGGGGCTTCAGTTGTCTGTTATTTTCGTTCAGTCTGGAGAAGGCAGTCTGATTTCGGTCAGCCATGCTCAGTCTGACCCGCTCAGTCTGTCCGTGTTGGAGGAGGGGCAGAATGAGCGTGGCTGACCGAGATCAGACTGCTTGCTTCGGACTGAACAAGAAGAAGACATCGCTGGAGACCCGGAGCTCGAATGTTTACCGAGAAGTTGCTAAACTTCATCGTAATTAATGACCAACCACTATCAGTTGTAGAAAACAAAGGATTTTACAGCTTGATACTTGCAGCCAAGATATAGTTTATCCCCCAGGAGATACTTATCAGTACAACAGTAGGCAATCATAAAAAAACATATGATTTGAAAATTACAAGAAAATTATATATACATCCATCCATCCATCCATTATCTTTACCCGCTTATTCCATTTTGGGTCACGGGGGTCGCTGGTGCCCATGTCCAGCAATCACTGTGCGAGGGGCGGGGTACACCCTGGACAGGTTGCAAGTCCATCACAGGGCCACATAGAGACAAACGAGACAAACAACCATTCACTCTCCCACTCAAACCTAGGGACAATTTAGAGTTACCAATTAGCCTATGCATGTTTTTGATCTGTGGGAGGAAACCGGAGTACCCGGAGAAAACCCACGCATGCACGGAGAGAACATGCAAACTCCACCCAGAGGGCCCCTGGACCGGGGTTTGAACCAAGGACCTGCTCGCTGGGAGGCAGCAGCTCTGCCAGTTGCGCCACCGTGCTGCCCCACATATATATATATATATATATACATATACATATACATATATATATATATATATATATATACATATACATATATATATATGAACATATAAACAAACAAAAACAGCTACATTATAAAATGATGTAAATAACTAAAAACAGGAATGGCTGTTGGTTTATGCCATGAACTTAGTAGATGTTTAAAACCATTTAACATTTTATTTTATTTAATTCATTTATTCATTCATTTAAAAGAAACAAAACAAATTCATCAAAAAGAAAACATTGAATGAAAAGAGTGCAGAAAGAAGAAAAATCTTATTTCTGCTCCTTATTTAAAAAAATATTAAATAACTTTAAACAATCACTTAAATTAATCACTTTAATATCCACTTTAAAGCTAGGAATAAAAAGAAACATGTTTTGGGTTAGCAGAATTGAATTCTAACTTTAAAACCTATCCAACATTAATAAAACTTGCCTCAAGTTGTCTTTTTGGACATGCATGAATATATTTGTACAAATTGTACTTGAGAGGACATTATTACAGCCTCATATAAAATCAATGATGATCATGATATCGGAACTGGATCTGTATCGGTCGATATTTAGATTTAGGTATCGGGATCGGATCAGAAGTAAAACGGTGCATCCCTACTAAAAACATAAAATATCTCAAACATTTGATACATTTACAACATTCCATTGTTCCATCATGCATTAATGAGGTTTACAAAACACTGCTTTCTGTTTTTATTTACATTTCATACAACATACCAACTTTTTTTTTTCAAAATGGTTTCATTACATGTTTTATAATTGCCTTTGATAGTGTTACATTTAACTTGGCTGAATAAATCAGCCTCCCAACTGGTGCTTATAAAATAACTATGGTTTGATAAAAATTGACATTTTTCATGGTCAATCTGTTTCTACTGCAGCTCAGCCTTCTTCATTTCTCAGCTCAAACTGAGCATCCACCATGTTGTCTGAGCTGAATGGGCTCACTCTGTCCACAGGTCTGCTTGATAAGAGGCCAATGGACCCAGTGTGACCAGGCCTCATTCTTGCCTCATAGAGACAACCAGCCCACACATTTTATAGCTTAAGACAGCAGTAAGAGACAGAAAAGAGTTGTGTGTGTGTGTGTGTGTGGGGGGGGGGGGGGGGGGTTCCTAACACAGGACCTTGTTCTCCCTGAACAGGCACTCACACTCAGAGTGAGTCACCTTTCCCCTCATCTGATTACAGGCCACATGTTGCGGAACAAAAAAGGAGCTTAAAACCAATTTCAGAATATTTTACTTGTAAATTAATAAAGACAGACTGCAGGGTTGTGTTTGATGAGAGGTTTTAAGTTGTGGACATACCGCTGGGGTAGATGAGGATTTCAACAGGGAAGTCGTAAGTGTACTTGTCAGCTAGCGTGATGACGATGCTGGTGGCGGAGCGGGCCAAAGGGTCTGCATCGGCCCGGATGGCATGAGATGGGCTCTCCACACCTACACAGAGCAACACCCACATCAGATCAAACAACAAGTGGCTCCATGACAGCTGTTCATCAGTTCTTAACACATTTCTGAGCACGTTTCCAAAGGAAGATAACATGCAAGACTTCTTAAACACTGATGCTTTCCAGTGGAAGAAGGAAACTTAGAAAGTACCAACAATTTAAATCTGTGCGGCCTTTGAGGAGACTTTGGAAGAAAAATTATTTAGACAAGTCAAGAAAATGTATTCATCTTCCTGAAAACATGAAATATTACTAATAATGCCATCCCAAAACTCAAGCATAAAACGATTAATTAAATAACTGTTGCCAAAACATTCCAAATGTAATTTCAAACTATGTGTTCACAATAATCCAATATTTTTTCAGTCAGGTCATCTGGACAGTTTATTATTTTTTTTGTGCTGAAACGTTTCGCTTTCGATCCGGAAGGCTTCATCAGTCAAGGAAACAAACAACACTAAACTGATTCTTCCCCCAACAGCTTACTCCAAAGTGGAACAAACCAGTTATGTTGGTGCTAAGATGGTCTCTTTGTCACGCCCCCGCCTCCATTGCCGGCCCTCTTCCTTGTTGACAGTCGTGTCAAACTGGTTGAAACCAACAAAGTCCATGCTCAATAATCC